AGCAATAAACTAAAATCCAAGCCCCTTGAAATGAGTAAGATAGATACTGGAACATAAGAGTTTAATGTAGAACGGTTTAAAAAACTGAAGTATGATAATTAATAATGTATCTTTTAAATTATTAAGCAGAAATCACACGTTAATAGAGGCATCCGTATCTGCAGTAACAATGATGCAAACCAAATGCAGAACACTGAGATGCAGATAACTGGCTTTGAGGCAACATTTTACTGGTAGTATTAATAATTGACACTTTGTTAAATAAGTGATACTAATATTGTAAATTTCTCAGGAAAAAAAAGTATCATATATAAATGTTGATTTATTATTTGTTCAAAAAGGTGATTCTTGACATCCATCATTCTATTAATCATTAGATGTAATTTCTCAGTCGGTATGTACAACCATCTTTCTTGAAAACAAAATAAAAACATGCTGGAAGGAAAAAAAAAAAAACAACAACAAAACAAAACATGAAATGCTTCTGTTTTCCATTATTACAGCTAAAAAGCCTGCCTTTTTTCTTCAAGGAGATGATAAAATCCCTGCCCTATTTCACCTATAGTGTAAAAAATAAAATAACCACATTTAGCAGGGCACATATTTGGGATAGCAGTTTGTTCTGCTGATGATAATTACTATGAAATTTTCTACCAAGTGTAAACCGTGTTAATTCTGTGACAGTGATACAAAAAAGCCACACTCCTCGGATCTTGCCATCACCCGGATTTAAAAGCAATGTCGATTATTATTTTTAGCGTGGCTGGCTGAAACGAAGAAACAACCTCTTCAGCCTTATTTTCATCACCGTAACTATTTCAGTATGCGCAGCAGTAAGTTATCGGATTATATTTTCATGAATTATTCAGCGCGGACATCAGCAGCAGGCGGGGGCGAGCAGACGTGTGCCGCGGCCCCGCTGGCCGAGGGGCTTCCCGGCACGGCGCCCGCCTCAGCCCCGCGGCCGCCAGAGATCCCCCGGCGAGATCAGGGGACGTGTGGGGAGCGGATCTCAGCGCTGTGCTGGAGTTGGGATGTGTTTATATGCTGTGATGTACCCGATTCATTGCTGTGGAGGGTGTCAGCAGTGTCGCCTGGTCCTGCTGCTGCTCTCCCAGAGCTTTCCCGACGCTGCTGAGGGGCTGAGGCAGCACCCGAGGACCAGGCCCTGTGTGAGCACCGGGCATGGAGCACTACGACACGATGGCACGGAGATGGGGGAAATGCTGACAATGCTGCTGGCAATGACAACCCCAGCAGTGGGTTTGGTGAGGCCCTCGGCTGAGGAGGAAGCAGACCACCTGCAGGCCTCCCGGCGTGAGCCAGGCTTGGGGCTGCAACTGAAATCCTCTCACCGACAGCGAGCTGTGACTGCTGAACGCTCTGCAGCACTCACGGCTGCTGGTGCCTGCTGGAACTGCTGCACAAGGCAATGAGCAGTGTTTAGGTCGGTTTCGGTGCTACGGGGCTCAAAGATTCACTTCTTCCACCAGCAGGTTCCTGAGCCCCGGCTGTTAGGGCCACCCAAGACCTACACCCTGAGCTGAGAGGTGCTACCTCCAGGACTTGAAAACAAAACGTGGCAAAACGTACTAGGAATAAGTAAAGAAACTAAAAAGAAGGGGAGCTCCTCTTCACACACAGGCATGTGCCAGAAGCGTGAGACATAACGTGGGGTGTTGTTTTGAAAAACACTCACATGGAAGGCTTGTAGAAGCTCTGCATGTGTGTGCTTCTACAAAGGTGAGAAAGAAAGAAGATTTGGGGAAGCTAAGCAGTGAGATTGGAATAAAAAATGAATATTTTGCCTAAGAATGATGATGAAAATGGGGAGAATGTTCCAGTGATGGAGTTTTAAAGCCCTCTGCTCTTCTCCCCTTACAGAACAAAGGCTGCCTGCACATACAGGAGAGCAAAACCCAAGGAGAGGAAACGGTTATTTAAGCTAAAGGTCAATGTTGGTACAGAGGCTTAAGTAACCATACCTACACTGGGGTGGGAATAGAAGAACAGATTTCTAACCCTTGATATTTTAACCCGTCGGTATTCTGGAACCAACTTTCACTCGGAGCACTGGGTGCCAGGAAGGCCAGTTTGCTCCAGCCCTTCCTACCTGCTGCAGCCTTCATGTCCCCAGGAGGTCCCACCTGCAATGCCCGCATCTTGTTCTCCCCTTGTGCTTATCTCGGCTCCAAGCTCAATTAACGTACACCTTTAATGATGAGTGCAAGTCAGGGGAAAAGTGAGCTGCTCCCACCTCTTCCTATCCCTGATTAAAAATGGGTTACATGTGAATTGCCATGAGGATAACTAATGCAACTCTCAGATCTGTTTAAAACTTTTACTTTCAAAACGCTAACGTATTTACTAAATACAAAATTGTTTTTACAGCTTCAGAAAAAGAAAATTCAAAGACTTTTTTTGTTTGTTTTAAATAAATAGCAAATATTAAGCCTTTAAAAAAATCCTGTAATTTCTGGTAATTACAGTCTTTCAATAAACATTATAAACAGAAAAAAAAAAATGACCTTAAGAGAGACAGCGGGGTGGACTGACTGACTTCTTGCTCTGCCTTACAGCAGGACCCTGATTCCAAAAGACACTTCCCACGTAACTGCTCTAAGTCATGCTCAATTTAAACATACCTAAGCAATTAAAATATTTTGATAAACACTTTGAAAAGCTTTAACTTTTTGTAAAAACAGAAGATTTTTGAGCTTTTTGCAACATTATCTTCTTCTACACAATCCTAAATTTATCTCCTGTCTTCTGAGCAGCCTGAAATGTGTAACTGGGAGAAATAACTTAAACGATTAGATTTGGAATAAGAAATCTGTATCCAATAGATGGCGTTGCCCCCTAATAATATATGTGGCCCTCAACAGATTTCTCTGATCTTATGAATAATAAAATCTGCAAAGAATCCTGTTCAAATTTTCCTTTCATACCCTCTTCTGCCCTCCACACCTTACATGGAAGCTTACTAAGAAAGTAAGAAAACAAGTACCGTGAATATTCACTCCCACATCAAATTAAGGCAGTGAATTATTCAGACAATTTACTGGCAGAAATCTGGAGTTAGTTCCGGGAACCAAACACAAAAGAACGCCAACTAACACGGAAGTGACACTAAATCAGATAAAAGTGTTGCAACCATCAAGACAATCACCTTCACGAGAGCTGGTGGTCATTACACAGAATCCATTTTAAAAGAACTCTGGTCCTCTGCAAAACTCCTGTAGGCCACCAGATTGTGTAAAACGCTTTACAGAGCCATCTGGAATTCACACTGCCAAGAAAGAGCTTTCCTAATTACTCCACATGCTATCAAACACCTCTGTTCACCTTGGAGCCAGTTCAGTAGATAAAGTATGAATGAGACAAAGTTAAAAATGCAAGGCTGGTAGCACTGGTTAAGTACTGATGCTACATGGAAGAACGGGCTTTGTCACCCATCTCCTGGTGCTCTAAAAACAGAGAGATGTGAGGACGTGGATGCTTGTGCTTTTTTTCCCCCTCCTCTCCAGCAGGATCAGGAATTAGCTGTTAGTTTGAGATGCCAAGACTTCGCAGACTTATCTGGACTTTGCACTCTCAATTTTCGGTGCAATGATGCACACAGAAAGGAATTGTGGTCGGTGTCTCTTAATGGCCAGAAGGAGATGTTCAGCAACTAACTGCTTTGTCATGCTGCTTGGTGAATAGCTGGGAGAAAAAGTAATGCAACATGTATATTTGGAAACGGGAATGCAGAGAGCTGTGTGCAGCAAGGCATAATCTTGGCCAGGTGCTGATGACAGGACTGCAAGGCAGCAAAAATGCTCAGTGACATCTGATATATCAATATAAAGCAGTTCTTGTGGAGTAATTTTTGTAGTTAAATTAATAAATCATGATCCAAACAATGATCTAAAACAAGATAGAACAGTCCACTGATACTCTTTGCCTGCATTATATAGCTATTATGAAATAAATTTGGCCAGCTCAGCTTCCACAGACAGCTGTCTAAACAAAAAATACCAAAATGTACAACGTTGTTAGCTACTAGTTTTGGGAAATAATCAAAATTTCAGAACAGAAAATGAACCAGCCATGTGTACCTTTGCTGGCACACAGTTCTGCCAGCAAAGTACTAAGTGACACTGCAGATTTAGTAAAAAGAAATCTATGCTACCTTGTCTATAAAGCACATTTTATAAGGACTAAGTATCTAGTCCTTTTAGTCCAAGTTTAGAAACAAAAAACATATTTGCACCCAAAAATTACATTTGCATTTAAAAAATCCTCAAACCAACTGAACAAAAACTCTCCGCAAAACACTAAAAAACAGCCAACAACCAAAACCAACTAATAAGGCAGATTCAAAATACAGGTATTTTATCCAAGCTTTACATGACTACTGAAATTCAATGAGGAAAGATAGTGGATCACACAGCATGAGGAATAATACAGGGTCCGAGCAATTAACTTTTCTGAAAATGCTTTGTTACTTCAACATTTGTAATTCCATGCAAATTCAAGCAAAGCGCTCATTTCAATGTTATCCTCACACATATCCTCTCCTAGGTGAGGGGTAGGAGAACACATATCTTATTTAATATCAGAGAAGTGCAAATACCTCGGATGGCAGCACCGTGCCACTTCACAGAGAGGAGTTTTAGGAAGAAATAACCAGTAGATTTTCTTTGGGACTTCTATCGTAGATAAGCATGCTTCTATAAAGCTTAACTTTTCAAATCAGATTTTTCATTTCTTTCAGAGCAAGGGTATCACCTAACTTTAGGCTTTCATTATTAACCCATCTGTGGCACCCATTCAGTTCCAGTGAATGAAGACAGTAGGGCTCTATATACTTTGAGTCCTTCATTAAACTATTGATCCCCTTAGCATTATCCATAATGTTCCAGCAGCTCAGCATGTCAACTGATGCAGAGCTCGCTGCTCTTTCCTTTCAATAACTTCCACACTTTATGGGGAGGAAGTCACAATGATTTATTTACCTGACATTTCCCAGTCCGGATGTCGTAGAGGGCCACTGAACCATGGCGAGCTCCAACTGCTATTCTGTGACTCCGCTCGTAATAGCTGACCATGTAGAACCTGAATTGAACATTATAACAAGTAACAGGTGAGATCTGACCTGCCTGCATGATGTTCAAATTAATTTGCAATGCCATTGGGTAATTAACATTAGTGCTGGAACAGAGATTTGATTTCAAAATCCATCAGCTGCCAGTTTTCATACGTGGCATTTAGCAAACAAACCCAACTGGTGTTTGGCTCATTACTGCAGAATCCGATCGGATTTATTTTTTATTTTTACTAAACAGTGTTACAGCAATTCTGTTGAGTGTGGGAATAATCTATGCAATAATCACCAGTTCCTGCAACGTCCATGTGCAAGCGCTGTTTACAGCTCCACACCACAATAATGCTGGATGCCGAAGGGTTACGTGAGACAATCTCAACACCCTGAATGACTTCAGAGCATTTTTCTTTGAAAATCAAGTGAGAAAGGTTCAAGGGAGCAAAGGGAAAACATGTAAATTAAAAAGAAAAAAGAAAAAAAAAAAGGACAAGTCATCAAACTACCTCTAATACAACAATATTCAGGTGAAAGGGAGCTGAGAAGCATGTGAGAGTCCTTAAAGTTCGATGTGAGTGTATGCTATCAATCTGAGCACAAAAAATAGAGAAATTCCTTGGATTTTGCAATCTTGAAACACAAGAGAATCAGAATCCTTAATTCCAGTTGAAACAATTGGGGATATTTATGCCTGTCTCCTCAAAGGAAGAACAGACCCGTGAAAACTGTCACCTGCTTTTCCACTTAAATTTTAATTCTAATTTTTCAGTTAAATTTTACTATAGCAAAAGCTGCCCGAGCTTGCTAGAATCGGTCTGTAAAAATATGCTGCTGCCCACATTTATGGCTTCAGACAGCACATCTTGCAATGATCCATCTCCTTGTTCGCAGGGATTCCCAGAGTGCCATAGCAACTGCTCTTACAGGGCTGCTACACTTGTTCTGCAGCGCGGGATGGATTCGGGAAGGCAAACAGCACCAAACACGGTGTTAACAAACAAACAAACACAAGGAAATGAAAATCATTCATTTTTGTGCTAGAGAAGGGGCAAGGACCTAGCTCAGAAGCACTTCTGCACCCCTGTCCTCCCACACCCCGAGGACCACCGGCCCCGCAGACGCCCCTGGTCCCAGGCCGGCAGCTTCCAGCTTTGCTCCCGAGCTCCAGGAGCATCCTCCTTGCATCTCCCTGCCTGCACCTCGCTGGCTGGGCTTCGAGGCAGATCAAAGGGAAGGAGCCCGCTGTGAAAGAGCCGGCAGCTCAGCGAGCAACGCCAGCTCGGGAGGGCAAGGCAAAGCCAAAACCCGTGTAGGCAAGGGATGATTTCCTGCACAGTCACAGAGCCTGTGGGCAGGGCAGCAACACACCTTATTTGTTTGTTACTTAAGGGTAACAGCAGCAAGATCTTCTTATTTAATTTAAGAAAAAAAAAAAAAAGAGTGCTTAGAAAAAAAAAACAAACGCTGTTGGGAAGCAGCAAGGGAACAGGAAAGGCAAGAGCCAGTCATGAAAAATAGGGGAGAAAAAGGCTAATGCTGTGGGCAAACAGGTACCCACAGGGTCTATAGCATGTCCTATACCGTGAATAGCATGGGAGAGCTTTCCCATTTTTCACCATTTCATGCCAAACTGCAGTCACCGACACAGTTACCGTGGTGCCTCAGGTGAACGGGGAGGGGGCTATTTGTAAGGCTATTTCAACCTTACATAGAAATACACACGTCTTGTCATCATGAGTAAAACAGAATAGAACCAAGTTTCTACATGAGATGTTTTATGTCCCCTTTATCACATTTCTGAGTGGGCGCAGTCGGCTGGTCTCCCCAGCAGACACCGGCTGTGATGTGGGAGCACGCAGCACTTCTCTCCCTGCTGCATTTAAATGCCCCTTTAGACAGAGAGCTGAGTCAGGATTTCTCTTTGAGAAGAATCCATCAGTCTCCGGAACAACAGAGGATTTGTGGAAAAAAAGGCTTCCAGGAAATAGACATTTTTGAGCTTAATTTGATATAAACCCCCCTCCTCCTTAGACTGACGTTCCATCGTCAGCTCTTTAGCCCGCTCTTTATCATTTAGTTAGCTCAGTATTTTGCAAGCCACCCCTAGATTTCAACATTTTAATCCTTTGCCTCCCTTTCTAACCTCTGTATGGTAGAGTTTCAATAGAGAATGATATGCCAGCATATATTTAGACTACACTACGGAGTCATTTCTGCAAGCCTAGCTGGTGCCTCCATATCCATCATTGGCATCTTAATGGAAAGCCTGCTCTGAGTGCTGCTCCATTACTGCTCTTCAGAGAAACTTCACTCAGCCAAAAGACAGCTCAATTTAACGTGGGGGGAATCCTGCTGGAACCAAATTAACAGCGCTGCGATCGCTTGTACCAGCTAATCCTCCAAATGAAAGGACGAGCTGGAGCTTGCATCCTTCTCCCCGCATTTTCCAAATGAGAACTGTGTACGAGGATAAAGACAAGTGTGGTCCTGTCTCCCTGACCTTGTCTCCCTCACCAGCCTCTCCCACTCGTTGCCCGTGGACAGCCACGCTGCAGTGTCACTGCTAACACTGATGGCAGCAACACGGGCCGTGCAGCAGCAGGAGGGCTGGAGAGGAACAAACCTGAAGGTGCTCCTGCGTGGGCATGAGCACCAGCCTGACGTCTGTCCCAAACAGTTCTGCGAGGGCAGAGCTTATTTTGATAAGAAATGAGTTTGCACAGAGGATGCTAAAAGGCAGGACAATCCTCTATAAAAAAAATACCACTTATGGGAAAACCATAACCATATGCAATAAAAAATGCTGCACGGTGACGGATTTACTTCATCACAACCCATCAGGACCAAGTCATGCAATTAACAGCACGACTGCTCCGTTTGTGCAACAGCAAAAGAAAGAAGATGAAAAAAAGGAGAGGAAAGATAATCTGGGCTTTAACCCACGCAATGCCATGCAGCATTAGGATATTAAAAGAATTAATGGTAGGATTACGTTGAAATGCTTCCACTTGGAGGCTCTCCAGACATCCAACGATTGCTGAAATCTTACGAAAATCTCCATTGGGCTGAATGATCACATCAGCGGGGTGCTGGATCATTTTTACTGTGGCTATAACTACATGTAACAGGAAATATTACTTGTCGTTTAAGAAAATTTTAAGATAACTTATAACTATAAAGTACAACAGAAACAGGGAGATTTTTTGCGTTAATTTCCACTTGCCCTTGCATTTATATGTTAAATTAAGCCTTTTAAAGGATCAGGAAGAAAGAAGACTACCTCTATCAGTATCTTATCTGTCAACAGGATAATAGCTCTTTTCTTGAAACTATTCAATATTTTAATAGCTTATTAAATTAAAATGTAATGGTTGAGAGATGAATGTTTAATTTATCGGCTGTGCCAGTTTAATAGTGTGACTGGGATATTTATCATAGTCTAAGGATGCTGTAAATGTTCACATGTCTTAAATCCCATTTACTATTAGGAGTACCAGTTGTGGAGTAAAGCAGGAGCTGCCTACAAGATCGCCTGCCTGTACTCAGCTCCCTGCCAGGGTCAGTGGGAGCCCCTCGTGCCTGTCGGCACCCTCTGACCACACGGACATGAGACCACAGGGGACCACCACAACCACCCTTCTCCTCTCCTGTGACTTCTGCAGTTATCACTTGTTGTTTTCAGCTTGTTTCAGCTTCTGTTCCTGCTCCCAAACTGCACTTCGTCCAGTGCTGCCAGTGGGAGAGATGCCCAGCACCCGGACCTCCAGGGGACCAGGAGCCCCCATGGTGCTGGGGCCCCTAGGACAGCAGTGCCTGTGTGGCCAGCATGTGTCTTCAGCACACCTAGAAACCTTCTGCCACCTACCTCAAAACTGGCTGCTCCTGGCTTGGTGGCAGCAAACAGACAGCAGCTTGCTGAAAGGTGTTGATGGAAGCCACCACAAGCGCCCGCCAGCTGTACCGGGTATCTGGAAACAACCCGCCACCACTAGGCTCCCAGATACTCCTAGACAGATCCTTATCTTCTGCTCTCACCATGTTAGTCACATCCCCCCCTGCCCCTTTATATTTTTCCCTGCAGCCTGCTATGATGATGTCACTAGCTCAATTCAAGCAGGTCCTGCACACGTGAATTTAACTTATTACTCAAGAATGTTATTATCATTTTTGCAACAACTGCAACAGCAGCAACAAAGATATTTATACACCCTTTGAAAGAAATCTGTACAATTAACCTGGTCAGATTGTGCAGCTGTTCCAGTGGAGCAGCCAGGATGTAGGAAGGGGCAGCAGGACACAAATTTTCATCTTCTGGACTTTAAAATACTTGAACTTTAAAGAGTTGTTAACACTTTTCTGGTCCACATCTGTCAGATGTGAATGTAAATTAAAAGCCTGTAAAGGCTTACAGGTGACCACTCTTCACATTTGCTGCTTTAAGGGGCAAATACCACACAAAAGACTGTTTCACCTCTAAGTAAGAAATTTATCCTTCTGGTGACCTTATAATTTTCTTCACTGTACTCTTGAGGGAAGAGCTTACCTGCAGATGGCTGGGAGCATTCCTGAGACCTTTCTTCTTAACTAAAGATCCTTCAAGGCAATACATGATGATGTCCATACCTCGGAAACAAAAGTTAATGTTATTTGATATTATATATTTCATAATAAATTTCTGACAGGCAAAAATAAAACATTTCTGGGCCTGACTGCAGCTTTGATATCTAATTTAAAGTATGATTGGGATAAAAGAAACCAGAACTGGCTTGCATGTAACGGTGTTTACCACAGCAATGGTACTGGCAACTTGAACCCTTTGGAGCACCAAAAAACAATTAGAAGAGTAATTTTTGGTAAACGTAAGCTTACCAAATACACAGAATGAAACTCTATCATGCTAGTCCAGGCCAGTAAGTTACACTGCTGCATCGAAACCTCAAAGACATAAGGCAGCACAGCCTCACCTCCACCAGAAGGTCCACGACGTCGGTAGGCATCTTCTCAATAAGTATTTCAATGACTCGTAAGATCTCTCCTTTAGCCGAGCAAGGGTGGTGGTGTGGATATTCTGCTGAGACTGCGTGTTCGCAGCCAGGGCGGTGTGTCTGTGCACCTAGCAAAGAGCAGGGTTTATGCAAACGTGCCTTGCTGTATATTCTCCATCTCTACTTACTGTTATATGCATACTACTTTGAGAGCCCGTACCATGCAGAACGTTTTGCTTCCCTTTGAGACATACGGGTTATTTCCCATACCCCGTTATGGGTAGAGCTAAAGGTTGGTTTTCCTTATAGCAGTTTTTAAACACAGGTCTATCTTTTAATTCTCAATCTTGTACAATGTGAGGTCAAGATGAGCACATTCTTGGGACCTGGTTACATAACTTTCAGATATTGCTGCATATTTCTTTGAGTATTAAATGTCTGCTTTATAACAGGCCTTTTTTTGGCCAAGTGAAAGCTCCAAGCACCCGGGTTTACTTAAATGGCTCTCAAGGACAGTGCCCACCCTACACTAACCTCACAGCACTGTCCCCACTCCTCACCCCCAGACTGCACGGCTAAATCTCCACCCAGTCTGAATTCGTACTTAATTGGGTGGCGTTTGCATTGCCGAAAGAAAGCGGGATTTTACACATCGCTATCTGAAGTTTGTATAACCAGTTCGTCAGGAGACAACAAATCAAGCCAGGCACGGCTCAACGGCTTGAGTTCAGCACGAAACCGCTCGTTAATTACGGGTGACTGGAAAGAGCAATCCGCGGGGACACAAACATTTCGCCCGCTCGTTTTCCCTTTTGGGGAGGAAGGGCAGGACGCGGGCTTGCTTCTGTTTCGCAGAAGGACTGCTGCGAGGGCTCAGCGCCCAGCTCACCTCCTTGGCGATGGTGGTGATGAAGGCGGGTGGTCTGGCCGTGGCGATGAGCGAGAGAGCGTGTCGCGCCGAGCGGGCAGAGTCGGCCGCCGGGCTCAGGGGCAGCCCCATTGTGATGCTAAATGGGCACCAGACAAAGAGGGGAGAAAGAAAAGGAGCATTAGAAATATAGAGTGAAAAGATTAGAAACAGCTTATAATGTCGGTTCAAGGTCAACGGGAGCACTCAAACAGTTAGAATATAATGGACTCCCAACAATGAGCGGTGATTAGGAGTCAGGGTGTTCTATCATCAAATACAAAATCGAATAATTAACCATGAAGATTGAAAACAGTATGTGCATCTGTCCAAAGTGTTAAAAAGGCCTTGTTAACAAATTATCTGTATGTGCTGAATACATATCACAGAAGCGAGGACAAGGCAAATGAAGAATGTCTCCCAAAGAATTTACATTTTACTCCTTTACAAAATCTTAAACACAGGGTGAAAAATATCCCGTTTATAGTAATTCTACTTAATTCAGCTAAGCGCTGGTTACAGGAGATTAAAGCGAGAAGCTTCCTGAAGACCTAAAGCCACTGAATCTATTCAGTGTGATTTTATTCAGCGCATGACTCAGTTACAGAAGCATGAAGAGATGACAGACAGCCTCGTACCCTGTACTTCCTCCTTACTATGAAATTATTCTAATGCTCTTTAGCATTTCTAACACTCGGGTTTTTACCGCAAGCCTTCAAATAACACTAAGGGATTAAGTGGTATCAAATTTCTCCATACACAGCGTTTTATTTGCTATGAGAAGATAAACGTAAGAAACAATAAAATAACAGTAAGTAACTTGTAACTACATTAAGCAAAAGTAAAATCCAGTATTTGGTAATTGTGACAGTGTGTTACGTGACAAAAAAGATACACAGCTAATTTAGGTCTGAAAGCTTAATTTCTTAACATTTCTTTAACTATCACCATTCCCTATGCCACAGCAGCCTGGGTGTTTGTTAGGCTAATTGGGCATTATCCAGCAACTCTACCAATACTTCCTGCACTCACAGTCCATAAACCACCCCAAAGGTACCTCTTTGGGTTCACAACCCTACACCTTTAGAAGACCAAAGCACTGCATAAAGGTGTATCTGATCCAGCTGAGAACTGGACTACAAAATTTAACAACACTTCAAGGCACCATTTTGATGATGGTTAAAGATTATGGGAGAAGACCCTGGTGGCAAAGCGGTATTCACCTGCTGGCTTTGGTGCACCAGGAGAGAACAATTCCCCAACAGAAACCAGCAGCAGTGTGGGAAGAAGAAATGGCAGAAAAGAGCTAGAGGGAAGAACACGTTTTTGGAATTGGGCTTTTACAGAAGGGGGAGAAGCATCTGGGAACCGGTGTTGGGTTTAGTCTGACCACGTAGCCCTTCCTACAGAGGTCTACTCCAACAGGTCTACTGCAGAAAGGAAAGGGAGACACAAGCCAATTTGCCAGCTCTGAAACATTTTTAATTTTTCTGTAACATATTCTGCTGCTATGACCACACTTTCACCAAGAAGCAGCACTAGGGTTTTTTTGCTTCTTAAATAAAGACAAAAGAAATGTTATTTTCTTTTGCTCCCTCCTGGTACTAGTCAGCCACGTGAGTACAGCGCAGTTCCCCAGAGGTTTGCTAAATCATGACAAATTATTTTTAAGAACGCACTGAAACTCTCTCTCTGCTATTTCTTTTGCTCGTTTTTCTGTGAAAATGAAGCCTTTTTCTACATGCTGCCGTGCTCAGCCATCAGTGTTCCCTCTTTCTGAAGGCCAGGGATGAAGCTGAGGGGCTCCCACGTTGCACAGGATGACCACCTTGTGAGAACACACCCAAGTGAGCAGTGCCAAAACAAACTGGCATCGCGTTTTAAAGGAATTTCTACACCTCAGCTGTTTGCATTACAAATACATGTTAAGTATTAATAAAACCAAACTTTTTCTTAAACTATGGCATTTAAGTGCACGTTGACAACACAAGATAGCTTTATTCCATGAAAAAAGGTCTAAAGTCTACAGCATAACGTTATCTGGAAGCGAGACTGAAGGAAATCTGCATTTTCAGAGCCAGGATGGAAAGCACAAAGGTTTTATTTCTGAGCACTCCCCAAGACCACATGTAAAAACGTGGGTAAGAGAAAGTAAGCGTGGCATGTCATTTCATCAGATGCACTGAAAATGTCACCTCGGGCACTATTTGAAGGGTTTCTA